GTAACATTCTAATTCATCACACGAACATTTCAACTAGACTTTCTTGAATAAGCCCCATCAGAGAGGGGCTGTGTCTTACTGATTGTCACTGAACTTTATTGAATATGTGCCCACCACAACCCTCAGTGCCTGGCAAGAGGCTAGGAATACAAACAGCGAACAAAACAGAACAAAATTCATGCCTTTGTGGAGTTAACATTCTAAGGGTGAAGCCTACCTTATTTATGCCTATGGTTGCAGTGCCTGGCCCTTGATGAAGTACTGTAATGTGATAAGGTTAGAAAAGTAGCCAGGTTCACCAACCAGTCTTTTCAATAATCTCTCCAGGTCAGTCTCTTCCGTAGGATCTTCTCCTTTTATCTATGTTTCCTTTTTAATTTCTACCATGTATTAGTCGAAACACTTCCATGTAATCTAAAAGGGGTCATACTGGACTAACAAATTCTAAGCAAAGTTCTATTTTTATACTGTACCTTCTCCCTTCTTCCAACTTGCATCTATTTCCTTGTCACACTCAAGTCCCCATTTTCCTTGAAACCATGTACCCTCTGGCTGTCCAGAAGTACAGTTAGGCACCTTAGTACTTTGTTTTCCCAAAGTATCCAGGTTCTAATTTACTTCTCCCTAATCTTCCCTGAATACCCCTAAAGTCAGAGCTAGCTGGTCAGTATTTATCTTCTCTACTGGAAAGCTTCCCAACTTTCTCATTTCTCACCCAATGAGAAGGCCCTCCTCGGTACTGTCTCCCTCTACCACAGTACTTATCACCCTGGACCCTTGAGTTTAATTCTTCTTTTCCTCCCTAGCACTTTCCAGAGTCTAGAACTGTTCAACAAAGTATCAATAAAGGAATAAATGAGTAAATGACTATATAATATATAGAGATACTTATATATTCTCTCCCCCTGAATTCAGCTGTGAGTATAACTTTCATCCTTCTCCCATACATTGTAGGGAGATCTACAAAAAAAGAGGCAGCCAGAAATACCCACTTTGGACCAAAGGTTAAGAAAGTCCTTTCTTTTAAAAACGTTAAGAGAAAATTTTTGATTTAAAAAAGGGTTTGGATATCCCAGGTCATGTCACATCTGTATGTGTACCTTTATTTAGTGCATGGCTTTTGCATTGTTTACAAATTCAGTTTCACCTTCTATGTGAATAAGGTGTGTATTACAATAGTGTTTTCATGTTACCCAAGTGGATCTTTTCACCAGGATGTGACTGAGCTGGAACTGAAGAGCCAACATACTATTCAAATTTAAGTATACACCTGTTGGGTGTGTTTGGGAATGGGGAGGAGAGGGAATTCCTGCATGAATACAAAAATCATAAACTTTCTGAAGGGCATAGTTGTAAGAGGTCACCTCGATGCTCTGGGTCATTAATACGTGGGAAATGGACCCAATCCTTGCCCTGCGACTGAATCCTCCTCCTCCATACAAAACTGAACCTCTACGCAATGTGCATTTAGGCGCGACAGCGACTGCTCCTAGAACTAGACCTCTCAACCTCTTCTCTCCTAGCGAAGCTCCGGAGATGTCAAAGATTCTTAAGGAGGGGTTTTCCAATCGGCCCCTGTGAGACTGCCCCTAGGCAAGGCAGACAGGCCCAAGCTGCGATGTAGAGAATTCGACGTTCGAGCGACCTCCTCGTAGGAGTGGATTGAGTTAAATATAACCATGCGAATGGAATGGCGCTAAAAATAAGGCAACAGCTGGCCGGTCCACAGCCCTTTCCCGGGAAGGGCGGGGGCCTGAGTGGTCTTATGCAGTAAGGCCTTCCCAGGCCCAGGGGTGATGAGGCTGCAGCGTCCGCGGGCCTGGGCCAGAAGGCTAGCGAGGTGGGCCCGAGCAGCCCCGGGCCTGAGAGGCCTCCACCCGCGCGAGTCCCGGGGACTGGACTCTGGGTCTCTCTCGGTGGCCCGAGGGGTAACTTTACAAAAGGAATCAGAAACCCGGCAGAACTTGCCTGGACGTGACAAGGTGGAAGAGCTGGGCGCTGAGCTCCTGCCAGCCCTGCCAGCAGAGGGTGCTGAACCCTCGAGGAGCCCCGGGTGTTGCGGGAGATCCACGTGCAGGGGACCCGTGGCGTCCGGCCCCGCGCGTGCAAACACGAGGTTCTCGCGGCGAGTGGCGATGGGCCCCGGCACTCCCTTCTTTCCCACAAGCCCCCTCCCGCGCGCCCCTCGGCCCTGCGCGCCCTCCCGCGGCAGCGCCCCAACCATCAAGCCCACAATTGAAACGTTTCCAAAATGGGCTATTTGTTTGCTCCCAATAAATCGATCGGCAGTGATTAAGAAATCGATGTGGCCTGGGTGGGCGATTCGCTCGCGGGGAGAGAAAGGCGCTTGCGCCCTGAGCTAGAGGGGAGGCCGACGGCCGGCGCGGGACTGGGAGAGGCGTGTCTCTCCTGGGCCACACCCGAGGACCCGCCACCTGGGTGCGCGACCCCGGCAGGCCGCGTTCTCTCCGGCGGCGAGGGGTGCGCGCCCGCCGCCTGCTTTCCTCTGCCCTTCTCGCCTTGCTCTTGGCGCGCGGGGGAGGCCGTGGAGGCCAGGGGCCGCCGAGTTGCTGCAAGGCTTTTGTTGCTCCTCCGCCGGCTGAAAGGGGATTTTGTAAAGCGGGACAGATAACAATGAGCAGTATCATATTGTTTGACAGAATGATCCCATATGATGAAGTGTTGGCTCCGAAGGAGGTGAAAATGGTGAATTCCTAAAAACCCAGCCCTCGGCTCCTCCACGAGCTGCGGTAGCCTGGAGGGACCCAGCGGACAGCCGGGCCCGATCGCTTCCCGCCAAACCATGTCGGAAAGATGCGAGCTTTCAATGCCAAGTCATTTTTAAGCCCCGATCCTGCCCAGGACCTTTCTCCTCGCGGATGAAAAGAACAATTTTCTAGAGAAAGGCTCGTTTTGATTAAATCTGACATGCTGCTGATAACTCCATGCTAATGTGAAATAATTAACATAATAGCCATAATTAAAAGCACGCTAACAATGCCATAAATTTATCACACAATTTTACTAGCTTTCTGCCCCTAACTGCTCTCTCATCGTTAATTAAACGTGTTGCCTTTTACAGAATGGATGTTTATACATTTCCAATATAAATAAATTCGAGACCATCCTCTCTCTCTCCCGCTCTCCTTTCCCTTTGGTCTCTCGCCATTTACAGGCACTTCTTCAGATGGGCCCTGAGTGGCAGACACCTTGAAAATAAATGAAGTTTTGAGATGCAAATCCAAACAAGAACATTAAATTAGCCTTTTCCCCCTACCCCGAAGAGATCTGGAGAGGCATACAAGAGTGGTGGGAAGTGAGTTGAAAATCCCACCCACTTGAAAATAAAAATAATCTGGGCGGGTTGGGGACCCTAGTATCATCTCAGCCCTTCCCACCTCCCTCGGTAGGCAGAGGCTGAAAATAGTTTAACAAATCTATGAAGATTGTCAAGAAGAAGCCGACTTTGGTTCTTGGGGGTGGGGGGCGGTAGGAAGGAGGGGTATATTCCAAATTTGCTCCACCCACATTTTGTTTCCTCTGCAATAGGCGGTGGCTGCTCTCGGTGGGCGACGCGCTATGCACCCCATCACTGCGCAGAACCTGGTCCCATCTCCCCGGATTCTAAGAAAAGTGCACCCGAGTATGGGCATTATTCTATCTTACTTCGGGCCAACGACTTATTCAAACCATTGGCATAGTCTCTGACTTAAAGGAGGAAGAGAGCATCTGGGTTTGCTCCGGCCTGGTGAGGGGTAGGTGGGCCATTTCCTCGCCCCGCACACTCTGAGGGTGACCCTCCTCCCATGTTGACCATTTAAGAACCCGAGTTGAGTTGTAATTAATCTCCCCATCACCGTCATAAATTGTTCCATCCACTTCTCCCGCACCCCATCTCAACCCCCGGAACGCACATACTAAATCTCCCCTCCCCTGAGATGTCTCAATTTCCTTCCAATCGATCCGGACTTCACTTTTCTTATTTCCCGTTGCTAGAACCTCGGTCCCCTTCACCAGCATCACCAACCCCCGCCCCTGATGGCCCGCTTCCCGGTGGCTTCCCCAGCTGGGTACCACTGACTCTACCCGCCCCAGGAGAAACGAAGGGAGCCTCATTCCGTTATCCTTGGGCTGAAACGTTTTAAACATTTGAACAGGTGAGACAACTGGCTTCCATCTTCTTTAAATCCCTCCCGGGAAGTTTGCTTGTTGTGACCTAAGTGGTCACTCTCACTCGTGGTATGTGTGTACTCCTCCCGCTTTCTATCTCCCCCAGGAACCCCTCTGCGACTCAGAAAATATTTATCCACATTTCACTTTTCTCCCCCTCCCAATATTTCCGTTCCCTTTATCACATTTTTCTCTCCCCCCCCGCTAGTGTGTCACTTTCTGTCTCTGTCTCGCTTCTTCCATCTCTCATTCCTAAAAGTTTGGCGGTAACTGACGACTTGTGGGCTTTTAGCTGCAAAATGGCCATTATTCGGCAAACAGGATTTATTAAGCCTGGAATCTAGTCGGCCTACAGCAGGTCCTTCCACCGCGTTGGGCTCCCGCCCGGGCCCTTCCGCCCCGGCGGCGTCCTGCGGCGAGGACAGCGGGAAGCCACCTTCTTCCCACCTGAGCCGCTGCTTCGCCTCCTTCCCGCCCCGGAAGGTTGCGCTGGCGCTACCGTCCGCCCCCAGAAGGAGGACAGCCAAGGCGGGTTCCCCAGCCGAGAGTGGCCGCGGGAAAATCCGCCGCCTGCCCTGGAAATCGATATTAAGCGAATGGGCTGGCGCGGGCGCCAGACGTCGGGCTGCAGCCAGTAGGTCCTGCACGTCTCATCATTTAGCTAATCGAGTCGAAAAGTTTCTGTAAGGGCCAGACCCAGCATCAGATGGTAACACTGATTGAACAAGAGATTAGCACAATAGATCTCTAACCGAGGGGAAGCGTTGCTTTTCACGCTACGCGCCGTAATTAATGGTATGAATCAATTAATTTGACTTTTATTGTGTCGAAGGAAAAAAGCGCAACAAATGGAACTGGCGGCTGGGAGTTGTTCTTCCCCCACCCTTTCCCCCAGGGAGGTTCCAATGAGACACCGGGGAACGGACGCATCAGGACAAGTCTTGGCCGGGGGAGGGTGAAAGGCTGCGAGCAGCAGCGCTGAGGGAGCCGAAGAGCCAGCCCTGGCGGGCAGTGGGATCGAAATTAGGCTCATTTAAGAGGCTACTTCAAGAAGACTGCGGAGGGCGGCCCCTGGAGCCGCCACCCTCCCCTGTGCGCCCATACACACGTGCACTTGTCTTCGCCGGCCCAGCCTCCTAAGCTGCGGTGTCGTCTCTTCCTGAGGCCCGCGGACTGCCTCTGGGGCTGGACAACCGAGGCCGCGCAAAAGATATTTCTGAATTTGTACATTTCGGTTTCCTTTTTTGTTTGTTTTTGTCCTTCCGACCTTCCTTTTGTAAGGATTAGGTTGCTCAGACAGTTGCAGCCGCGACCTCTGCAGCTGGGGGAAGTGGGTGGCCGGCTCGCAGCTCTGGTCGGTTTCACCCAAGGCTGTCTAGATGGCATCCTAATCGGTTCGGAGCCTGCGGGCCACAAAGCGGTGCAGCTGCGGAAATCAACTCAGAGATTCATTTTTGGGGTCAGGTGCAACCGGGGGATGATTTAAATACAGAAAAACCCTGGAGTTTCGCGGGCATCTCAGGATGGAGTAACTGCCCCCACTCTCCTCCCAGCCCCAACCTGGAGCATCCTGCGAAGTGGGGGTCCAATGGCCTGGTGTTATATCCAGGAAATTAAGGAAATGAAAAAGTGTGTGTCGCACTGCCTATAATGAAGTAAGTTTACGGATTTTGGTTTTAGTGGTTGTTGTTTTCCCCCTGGTGTGTCTAGGCCAAAGAAAGAGGGGTCGTAGGCGAGTGAGACCACAGATTGAGGGAATCAGGTGCACCACTGTCCACCAGGAATTAAGTCAGTTTCCTAGTGTCTTTTGTAAATATTTCACTAATTGTTTCCTCTCGGACCTCCTCCCCCTGTGCTCTTAGCTCTGGTGAGGCCGGCATTCCCCTCCCAGGCCTCAGCGGATAGCCTGGGCTGGGTTTCCAGGAGCCGGTCACACCCGGTAGGCGCTTTGCCGCTCGCTATGAAACGGCCTAAAAAATACCGGAGGAAGAGCAGGCACACCGCTCTCCGGGTCAGGAGCACTATTCGGAGGTGCGAGGTCTACGCGCCCCAGTAATGCCACGCACTGGGCGTCGGTTTTCGGTCCCCCTTCCCAATCCCAGTTAAATCCCCAGTGTTTCCTACCATCACTGACTTGCCTTGCCAGGGAAACTCGCTGCGCACTGGCCGCATCTTCGCCTTCTCCTCCACCCGCTCTGCTGATGGTTTCCGACGAAGTTAAATCTTGGAGGGTTTATCTAAGTCCTAAGAGGAAAGAATCCACTTTAGTTCGCAGCAACTCAGAGCCTAGGCCGCCGGCATGCCCCAGGCCGACCCCGCTGCCAGGTCGCTGGGCCCCGCCGCGGGGGAAGTCACACCTCCCGTTCCCGGCGTTGTTCTGCCGTCCCAGCCCCGGCGCGGCGTCTAATCTAAAGGCCCAAAGCTTTCTTCCCTGTCCCACTTGACTTACCCAGGCCTCGGCCAATCCCGGCTCCTTCCCCAGCACCTCATTTCCGACTTTTTCACATGCTAAGTCGTTTAACAACTCCCAGCAGCTAGTTATGGCTTTTTTATTTATAGGTTCCCTGTTATATTACGTCGTTTTTATTTCTCTCGGCAACTATTCTAATAGATTAATCAATAGACATTTTCTGACCTTCGGGAACCCCAGCTGATGCTGTTCTGGCCGCGCAGGAAAAAAATGCATGCATATATATATATATATATATATATATATATATATATATATATATGCATTTC